ACATATTTTATTGTTTTGATCTTCTTACTGTTGCCACAGACTGCATAGTATATCTAGACTGGGGACAGGGTGAGCTGTCCTTGTCCTGGCAGTAACTTTCCTGCATGCATGGAGTGTACATATAAGTGATGTAACCTACAGGAAGGCAGCTGGCTTGGGCCAACAGCTGGTTCATATAGCAGACACTCCATCTTTGCTCACTCCTGAGCTGCGGGCTTCATTGGGCTGGGTTGCTCTGAATGTGATCCCAATTCTGCTCTTTGCAAAATGGAAGTAGCTCTTGTGAGGATATACAAACCAGCACTTACTTGGATAACAAAATATTATCTTTGTTCCCACTTGTGCGTTACTCTTCAGTTTAATGTAGGAGTACTGAAGTATCTCTAACTGCTGAATCTTTTGTTGTTTTGACATTAGGTTCCAATGGGTGGGAAAGAACGAATGAAAGAGTTCCCCCCACTTGTCCCTCAGGACATTACACTGAAAGGAACTGGTACCACTGAGGCAATTGCAGATATCAAGCTTTCCTCTGCAGGTAACTTATCATTCTTTGTGTGAGAACCCTTGTTCTGATATGAGCAACTCTTCCTACTGACTGTATTTATTTATTTATTGCTCTGCAGGCTGGGTGGCAGTGACAGCTCATGCAGAAGCAGAACTGTTGCTCCGAGCCTATACGCCCAGGGGCACCACAGTGGTGGTACGGGAGCCTCCCCTTTTACCATGTATCAGTAACATCAGAGGGGCCCGGATCCCAGGTACTGCTGCCTATAGAACCAAAAAGCCTCCTTCCCTTGTAGAAAACCTGAAAACTGTGGGGAACAGATAGCACTCACCACCATCTGAGCAAGAAAAGGATTCAAAACCTTGATGCTTGTTGACGCTCAGGAGAGCTTAGACTCATCTAAAAGGCAGACAGGCACAGTTTCAAGGGAGGGCTGGGTGAGATAAATCTGATTTAAGGCACCACAAGTCTAATATAACTACTGAGATCACAGTATGTACCATGCAGCTAGTTCAAGTGAGCTGAGTGGCTGGTACCTTGCTCTGTGAGGCGAAGTGTTCTTTTCCCTGGGATCAGGAACTGTCAGGGAGCAACCATCTTTCCCAGTTTACTCTTGAAATACAGCATGGAAGCTCAGCTGCCTGCCCTTGGCTGACTTTGCTGCTCAGAGAGTAGGTCTTTTTCTGCAGACGTGCTCTCACAGGTCAGAAACCATCACCTGGTTCTTGGAGCCTTTATGTTGTTTCCAAAGCAGAGGGAGATGGAGGGTGGGGAGAAGAGCAGGGAGTTCTCTGGTGTGGGTGTGACACTCCCAGGAGTTTGTGGTTATTAAATATTATTGACCAAAAATACGGTCCCCTCAGTATCTGAGGCATTGCCCTACTTCTGGACACAGGAAAAAGGAATTAAAGAAAAGCAGGCCTGCTCAAGTGCCTGACAAATAAACTTGCAGCTCACTGCTTTGGTTTGGTTTCTGTAGCTTGTGTAAAAGTTTCTGAAACTGAGGATGTACAATAAAAAAAACCTTTTCAAGACTCCTTTGTCTTCTTTTGAAACCACCAGAAAAGCACTCGTGTGGGCTTGCATCCTGCAAACTATACAACAGCACTAGCAACATGGCCTGTATTAGAGGAAAATGTATCATGCCACATCTGGCAGCCAAAGAGGGGTAAGACTACTGCAGTTCCAAGCTGCCAGGTCCAACCACAGGAGCAGCTCAAAGTTCCCAGTTCACATGTGCACACAGCAGACATGTACACAGTTGGCCACACAGACTGCAAACAACAGTCAGGTGAACACAGACAGCACAAGCAGCCTCATCCTGCTTCCCTCCTTGGTTGATCAGAATAGAGGTCTGGGAAGAGAAAACATCCACCTTGCTACAACCTGGTTTACGGTAGTTGTAGAGAGCTGTGAGGTCTCTCCTCAGGCTTCTCTCTAGAGCAGACAGCACCATTTCCCCCAGCCACTCTTATCTTTGGTTTTCTGATTCCTTCATTATTTTTTTCCCCCTCTCTCCTCCAACCACACTCAAGCAATTCAAGATCCTTCTCATAGTGTGGGTCCTACAATTGAGCACAGTACACAAGGTGCAGTCTCACCAGAGCTAAGTAGAGAGGGGGAAAAAAAAATCACCATCCCAGTCCTGCTGGCCACACCATTTCCATTAAGTGTTCTGAGAGAAGACAGAAGAAAACACTGCTTCTGCTAGCATCTTGTTTTTTGTGAGGGATATACTCAGCTGTCCTGAAGAACATAGACATAGAAATAGTCACAGCTCTACCAGCAAAACTGGAAGTCAGAAAAAGGGTCTAGACATGGCCTGTTTGAACTAGCTTGACAAATAGAAACAGGCGTCTCCTACAGCATTCCTCTAATGCTGTAAGTCTGGAAAAGACGATGTAAAATGCAAACAATACCAAATGCAGGAAGAGTAACTGGAAGGCCTTCCTCTGTGAACAGCATTGGTCCCCAGCCCAGGAGTCAGCCATGAAAAACCACAGGCAAGACGTGTTCTGTGTAGCAGATCCCCTGATTTTTGAAAACAGCCTTTTTCACAAAGATCAGTAGCCAGTGCTGGAATTGTATCCAGGAGAAAGGGCTTCTTGCCTGAAACATGAGGATGTGCAGGGAAGAACGTGACTCCCATGCTGTGTCCTTTTGTGTTCAGCAAGACATGCAAGTAGAGCAGCTGGGCCAGCACAAGGGCTGGAGTTGCGTGGGTGTTTTAAGTGCTTTTGCAAAGCCTACTCTGTATCTACTGACTCCTCAAGGCCATAAGAGCAGACAGCTAGCAACAGCCACAGCTAGGAACAAAAATACATATATGTACTGCGGACAGATGTAAAACCTCAGCATGTAGAAGGCTTTAATATAGAAGCAATTAGTGCTTCAATTAAAGCACAGAAATACCTTTTATGAGTTCTGAGGGCTGAATTACACAGGAGCTGAGGACCTGCTTTGAAGTGCTTCTCAAAGTTGGTGTCTACGCTAGTGCAGGACAGCCTGAAGGGCAAGACATTTTTTAACATCTACGAACAAGAGCTAATTTAATCTCAAACCATATTTGCTTTTGGCTCCTCTGTTGAGTCTGTGTGTAAAAATGAGGTGTAAAGACAGGACCGGGAGAGTTGAGCCTCCTGGGAAGGTCCGACCTTCATGGCTCGGTGTGCACAGGCTGGGTGCAATTAGGTATAGCTATTTTAGAAAAGCAAGGAAAGCTGAAAAGTGCATATTCAGCAGAACAGCTCATTTGCTGGAATACTGCAGGGAGCTCCCTGTCTTCCCTCAGCTGGAATGGGGGACTTAGGGGATACCAAACCGGGCCAAGCAAAGAAGTATTGCATATCCCCACTGCCCTGCAAGCAGGGACATGATGCTGCAGCTGGCAGCCTGAGCTTATTTGCTTTGGCACATGTCTCCCCAAAAAGGGAGCTTCTTTTCTCTGCCCGGTAGCTATTCACTTTTCAGCTCGCTTATGGCAAAGACTCCTACCCTAGGAAAAGGGCTACTGCTTTCTGTGGCAAAAGCAGAACAAATCCCATGCAGAGGTCACTTTTTACCCAGAGGTTACTTTCACCCATTGTTAGTGCTCCCAAAATGGCCTGTAATGCAGGAGAGGTGCACTGGGCTGTGAGCCTAACGCACGACAAATTTCAAGCTTTTGCTTCCTATCCACTCAAGCATAGGCTTTGCTGAAAGCATGTGCTCCTGAAATCTGTGTGTCTCTTGGCTATCCACCTTCTGATTTCCCATTTAAGGCTGCGGGTATCTGTGCCTGCACTCATGGTGCATGCACCTCTGGAGGTGGTCCTGGCTGCCTGGTAACCCATCCAGGACATTGCCCAGGTCCCTGCCCCTCCTCACCACTTTCCTCTCTTTTTTTTTTTTTTTGCCCCAGCTCTCCTTGAGTTCTTCATGATAGAAACCCAACCAGACACAGAACTCCTCTATCCCTTCACCTCCAACACAGCCCCTGCTGCAGGCAGCAGCCTTTGGAGTGTGCTGCCCTGGACTGTGCTGAAGGACACTAAGAAGTGTTCATGTGGCCCCTTCCACCAACCTGTGGGCAAGGGAGTGGTTCAGCTGCCTGCCTTGAGTCCAAAAGAGTCATAGCATTGTCTTGCTGCTGGCCTGCAAGGTACTACATAGCCACGCGCTTCTTGTCTACTCAATTCTGTTAAAAAACAAACAAAAGTAATTAGGCATAAAGCAGAACTCAGCATAAAGTAGCATATTTTCAACCTGGTAGGTTTTACCCCATTTTCTGCCACAACGCAAGAAGTTGAAGATGAGGGTACAGGTTTAAGGGAAAATGGTTTTGCCCATTGGCAATCCATTTATATAATTTCTATTATAGTTCACCTAGAGGTGTTCCTTTCTGGAGAGTGAAAATACAAACTGGTGGTACAAAGGGCAGGGCCTCCTCTATTGAACCAGTCTGAAATAATTAACTCATGCAGCAAAGGCAGAGAAGTACATAAACCTACCATCTCTATGCCACGTTCTCAGGGCATCTCATGGCAGCCCACAGTTAAGACTGGGTACAACTCCTGGTTTACCATAAACTTCATACACATTTACCTATAAGACTTTAAGCCAGAACATGCCCCTTTAATTAAAAACATTTTTTGTAGCCATTAATAAGTAGCAGTGGGTAATCAATGAATATACGGATGTTATAATTAAGAAATATAGAGGAAAGTTAGGCTAAACAGGTTATCACGCTAAAGAAAAATGGATGGAAAGCTTACCTTTGTCCTGGGCTCGCTCAGAAGACTCCAAGAGGAGCAATCTCCAAGAGACCCTTCCTCACTGGTAGTCAGCTCTTAAATGGGGTCTAGGAGAGGTGCAGCAAGGCTCCACCCCTTCCAGTAACACAGGAGAATTGTCTTCACCTGTGCTCCCAGGGCTGACTCACTGCTCACCTCAGGTGGTCAATCAGAGGTTCAGGCCATGATCAACAGTTCCCATACAGGCAGATAGAAGCGACGAGTTCCATAATAAAGTTTATTTAATCAGAACTATGCTTAGGAAAATACACTTGAAAGGGTTAATATAATGGAATTTAGTTTAATTTTACACTACATTTTGAACAAAAGACTTAAAACATACTTTAAGTGAAAACAGGATGTATGATCTGGCTTGTTTTACATTAAAAACGTAGAAAAGGCCATCATGCACTACAGTAGAGAACATGGGAAAAAAAAAATTACCTTTGGTTTTATTCAGAGAATACAAGTATTGCACTGTAAAAGCATCAAACATGGTGCAACCAAATGTCATAAACACAACTCCATGCCAGCTTACGAAAGTTAACTAGGATAGTTTTAGAGGGAGGAAACGTATGTACACATGAAACAATTCCATTAGCTATCTGGATTCTGTTAATATGCATGCCACGTATCTACACAACTGCCATTCAAGAAACCTCTTGAATTTGGTTAATACTTTTCAGCTATATTAAATCTGTTGAAATCAGTGATGCTACCATATCTTAACTGGCTTGGCAGATGTTAAACGTTCTTTTGTCAATGAATGAAGGTCCAGGCTAGATCATCAAAACCCAGAAATAGTGACTACAGAATCACAGAATCATTACAACTGGAAAAGACAATTAAAACCATCTAGTCCAGCCGTGATTACAATATAATGGATTACGACTGCCTAGCTATCCACTTCTGGATCATTTCTCAAGGCAGTTACTTTGAGTGGATAGATCCATAGAGGTGAAAACCTCAAATGCCATGTTGCTCAACCAAGGACTGGCAGTGTAGAGCTGTCGTTGTGCTAAAAACTCCTCAACCCACGTATCTGAGGTTGAAAACTCCTACAGTTCTTAGGCTACTATTGGCAAAACCGACACAAAATAATTTAAGAATATTGAGAAGGACAAAAAGTCATTGTTTAGAGGGAGATACATCATAGTAAAACCATCATTTCTGGTGGCTTACCTTATCGGCATTCTCCAATACAAATATTCAGTATTAGCAATTTCTAACATCTTAGGTACATACGATGCAGAACATCTTTGCTGCTTTAACATAACATACTCCCAAATCTTGGACATAAGCCAGCAGAGAATTCCAACATTGTAACACACCAACAGTATTTCAGGACATTGCTGGTAAGGGTCTCAAAGAGACCTGTCTTCTTAATATTTCTGTAGTCTATTTTCAGCTCCTAATCCTGAGATAGGGAACACTGCTTAACAGGAACACTGCTGTCTTCAAAGAGTTCTTGTTAGATCATGTATTAAAACCTTGACCTCTTCCCAGAAATCTGCAGTGCAGTACCTCAGAAAACTACACCCTTGTTTTTATCTCATCAAGAGACACTTTAAGTCAGTGTATACCACATTTTCCATTTAAAAAACATAATAATTATCAGGCCAGTCCACAAGTTTATCTGAACATAGCTGAAGTCCTTGAAGTCTCTCACAAGATGGCAAAGGCTCTTCGCAAGGATATAAGGGGAGCTACAATATCTCTGCACAGTACTGGAATTTCCAGCATCTGCTCATGTTACTCACAAACGTTGGCAACATTTACATATAAAAGAAACACCGTTAAAAAAAAAAAAAAAGAAAGAAATACATCTAAGACTATTACAACCAGTTGTTTAGGAAAACAACTCAACTAATTTTCTTTTCTTAACATTTAGCATAAATATAGTTGCAACTTGATCTTCAGTTGCCAATGATTGTCACAGCCAAGGTAAGGATTGAATGCTATCTAAGCAAACAAAAACTCACTATACAATTTAATTCTGCCATGAGGGATGCCCTCCCTCTCAAATCTTTGGCCTCCTATTACCAATCTCTCCCAAAAGGAGAAGCAACGTAGTTTTGTTCTCTATTCATTCAAGGTTAGCTTGGGGGCTGAGGGAAGGGGAAAAGATGACATGTGGACAGGGAGAAAAAAAAATGAGGTTTGCTCCAGAAATTTACATTCACAGAACCAATTCACAGAACGCACACTGTGAGTACCTAAAACACACCGACAAATACTGAACTAGCTCCTCAGCTCCACTCTGCAAACAACACCTGCCTCCAAAGTTGCTTCTGCAGAGTTGATGAGAAGCCACCCCCAAGTGCCGCACCTGACAAGGGACCTAAAGACAGTCTTCTGCAGCACAGATGGGACTGGAGGCTTTTGCTTTTTCCCTGCTCATTTGGACTGCGTTCACATTTTGCCACTGGCAGGCATGCAATCCCTCTCATGTTTGTACGTGCCAGAAGAAAATCTGGTTAGAATTAAAAAACTCCCAGTACGGTATTTCTTGCATACAGACCTGAGATCGTAACCTGATCACTTCTGTGACCGATTATCTCCTCCGTGAGGAAACAGATGGTTCTATCAAATGAAACTTGAATGAATAAGGAACAGGAATTCCTACAGCCTTTAATGCCAGGTTTGTTGCTTACCAGTTAGTTTGTCTTTGTTTTTCAGTGTGTGAGATGTAATTACAGCTCATCAAAATCTAACATCTATGGTAATTTTCTTTTTTTTTTTTTAAGCTTATGAAGCTTGACTGCTGTCCATCATAGAAAGCAAAATAGAGAAAAAAAGAAAAAATCAAGCAACACCTGGACTTGTACAATTTTCAGACCATTTTCACTGACAGTGATTACTTTCCTGTCTGGTGATCCCAAACTATAAATTACAATTTATTACTCTGTATATGTACTAAAAATTTCAGAAGTGGCATTTCTATGGAAAAAAAAAAAAACTATAAGATAGTGTTTTGGAACTGTGTTGATATTCTTTCGCTCAAGAACTATATAAAATTTTAAAGCTACTCAAAAAATACACAGCCAAGCAGCTCATAATTCTACACACAACTAGCAATACCCTATGAAAAGAAGAAGAATCTGCAGTAAAGAGCATCACAGAAAACTGGCCCATGGTAAGCAACAAATCTGAATGGTTCAAAGTAAGAAAAGCTTACACAAATGAAACCCAACATGCATATATAAAGTGTACATGTACTGCACAAGCACTATTCCTAAAGGATTTATCTGCATAGGTATAAACAAAAACAATGTGCAACATTTTAAGCCTTTAAAGCAACAACAAAAAAGCAAAAACTTAAAAATAACAAACTTGCTCCCCCCCCCAACAGAGTCAATGACACTTAACAGTTAATAAGATATTAATCAAGACAGAGGTTCTCCAAACAAAAGTTGGAAGGACTAACCCCAAATTTTGGCTCACTGTTTATACTAAGGGGATTTGAAATGTATGTTCACAATTATAATTACCTTAAACAGTTACGTTCATCGCTAGCCAACTTCGATTTGTCTTACAAAGTGCTCTTTTATGTGATAGAAGCTATCTTCCTGGGAGAAAAAGCATTGAGTAGTTTTTACCACTTTGAACATCAAGGTACGTTAAGAAGAACTAAAACAAAAGCGGAGGAGAGGGGAAAGAGGAGTTGGCTGCTAAAAGAAAAAGCAACTGCCAGTGGCTCTATAAACATCCAAATTGTGTATGGTAGCTACAAGCCTTGTTCCTAAAGCTCAACTTATAAAACAAATGCATCAGCTAACAAACTATAAACAGACAGAACTTGCAGGACACAGCCTCATACACCCTACCTACTTCTTTAATGAAGAGATCCAATATTTAAAGAGGTCATTACACAAAAAGTTGTCCAAAATATTTTCAGCTTAAAAAAAAAAAAATCCCAACGCAGACACTAAAGAAAACCATGCTTTAAGAAAAAAAATCTACAATATCTGTACATAAGCTGTATAAGATCTTACAAAAGATACACATGCCCCCAGACCGCAGCTATTTCTACTCCTGCCCTTTTGTCGCCTTCTCAAGATAATACACATTGACCAAGTGGCGATTTAGGTGCTTGCTGTATTCACCTTCCTTTTTAAATGAGCGGTCACAAAAAATGCATACATAGTTCTCCCTGACTACTGTGCTACTGGCAGCTCCTTGTGATGTCTTTGGACTGGTTTCCTCTTGTACAGAGCGAGCACCATTTAACCCCGAATCATCGCTGCCTTCTGATATGTTGTCGCTTATGTCGCTGCCTTCATGGCTGTGGATGCCCTCATCCTCCTCCATTTCCTGAGATTCATTCACTGCTGCGTTATCCAGAGGTGACAAGGCCAGAGCTACTTCAGGGCTCTGCATACACCCTTCTGGGGGCACAGGCACTCCCACAGCATCTGCTGGCGGCTCTGTCTCTAGGATGTGTGTCTTAGTCAGGTCTATCGGGTCTGGGTTACTCACAGTTTCTGCCAAGCAGGTTTCCTCTGGCTCCTTCCTGGGCTCCAGATCTGGTAGTACATCCATGGGTCCATCCAGACTTTGTTCAGAAGACACTGCATGAGAAGATTCTTCCGAGTCTTCCCCTGTGTCCATCTTTCTCTCCTCTTTTTCACAGATAGTGTCTTCGCTCTCCACTGCTGCAGCAGGCATTTCTTGATCCTTCACCTCAGCCTCTGTGTCCGCAACCTGAGCTGACAGACAAAGCTGTCTTGGCTCTTGTACGCAGCTTCCTTTGGCACTGATGCTCTCCCCATTGCAAGTATGACCAACATTACTGTCTAATGGTGCTGGATCAGCAGGATCTTCCTCCTTCTCCTGGTCACTGCTCAGACTGTCTAGTTTCACGCATCTGTCTTCTTCCGTAAGATGAGACTTGTCCGCCACCTCCTCTTCTTCCATCTTCTCCTCATCAAGCCTATTGCTTTTCTTACTGTGCTTACTTTTCAGAGCTTTCTTTTTTCTGCTTTTCTTAAGGCAGGAATTTTGCTTTTTAGGTTCCGCCTCTGGTACATCATCACTTTTCTGAGCTTCCTGGCAGTCTCTGGGCTTAGTTTCCACTTTCTTTTTCTTTTTTGTCATTACGATGGTATCATTCGCAGGCTCTTGCTTTGAGAAAGTTATTTCTGCCTCTGCCTTTCTTTTGACCTTCTTTGTTTTACACGGTTTCTCAGTATTTTTCTCAGTTTTAATATCTACCTCCTTGTTTTCTGAAGTCGATCTCCGACTTCTGGTCGTCACTTGGCGTGCAGGAACATTGTTCGTTGGCTTCTTTTCCTTTGCTAAGTTCTCTTTTTTCTCCACTTTCACAGTTTTCTCAGTTTTCTTTGTGGGCGAATCCCCTTTTGTTTGCTCCTTCTCCACTTTGTCACTGATGCTCTCAGAAAAGTCAGCTTCGCTCTTTTTAGTCCGTAGCTTCACCTTTGAAACATCCATGGTGATGTCCGAACAATCAGGATGCCTGGACTTGATGTGATACTGCAGGTTACACTTCTTAGATGCCGCGTAGTCACAAACAGGACAAAGAAACTGGCGCGGATTGACGTGGAGCTCAACGTGCTTTTTGAAATTGCTGCGATCGGCTGTTTTGTAGTCACAGTGCGGGCAAGTCAGAGGCTTCGGCCCATTGTGAACCTGCCTTGCATGACGAGTTACTTCATGCTGGTTTGAGGCCACGTAACTGCACTGATCACATTTGAATGGCTTCTCACCTAAAGAAGGAAGGGTGGAAGGGAATTGTGGTGATTTATTAAGCACAGGGTTGGGAAGGAAATCACTTTGCACTAAGACAAGCACAGAAATATGAAACTCAAAAAGAAAATGATATATATTTATATATCCATGCGCCTTTTAAATTAAATACAATCAACATAAGAAATCCACAAATCACAAACATATTCACAAGACACCAAAAACAATATACAAAAAAAGAGAGAGAAGGGGCAAGGATTGGGAGGAAGGGGATCCACAACCAAACAAGCAGCAACAAAGTCACAAGTTCTGGCTATGCATACATACCCGCAGAGATCTCTCTATAGTACTATTAGCAAATGGAATCCATACCCAACTGGTCCATTGAATGCATTGTAGAAAAACGGAAATGTAACATTTGATGAATAGAAGTTTCACACAAACGTTTCAAATAAGTCCAACTTTACACAAATTTAGCATACTTCATGTTTGCATTGAAAAGGAAGTAAGGGAAAATGAGCTAGCAAAAGACTAAGCATATGAAAGATATGCCACTTCAATGATTTCTGCCTCTGTTAAATTCAGTTCAGTGGAGTTCATCACTGTCTCATTAATGTCACATTTATGGGTTGGCTGCAGGCTACTGTTGCAAGAAATATGTAGACAGTCTAAAGCCATCATGTTGCTACTACTGAAAGCTTCATTTTTTAAATGACTCATGCATGCACAAGTGTTTCTGAAATGCAAGGTTTAGTGCACAATGGTGCAGCAGAATCAGCTTTCCATTTACACTCCAAAGCAAAGAGGAAAAACATTTTCAGCACAATAACCCAAGTCCAAAAATACTTTGAGAACTTTTTTGCTTATACAAATTCAGCTGAGGGGTGCTACTGAGATCTAAACTAGCATTTAAAAATTTACCTCCAAAACTAAAGCACGCCACTTCCTAAGTATATTGAAAAGTCATTCCAGATCCTTTTCTCCATGGCTGTGCTGCCCTCTTTGGCAAGAGGGTGGGTGATGCTTGCTTAGGAGTCTAGAAAATTTCATTTCTGCCTGCAGCATCTCTTTATTACTTAATGACAGATTATTTTAACTTCAGCTGTTAATAAAACACCAGTGCATAGCAGATCATTAAAGAGGTTAAGATCGGAGGCAGCCTGAGCTGTAGCAACCACGACTCTGGTCAAGTTCACTATCTTGAGGAACATGGGCTTGGCAAAGAGAGGAGTCAGGACCCTGAACTTCAGGAGAGCAAACTTCAGGCTGTTTAAGGAATTGTTAGATTAGATCCCTTGATCTAATCAAGGAAACTGTCCTTAGGGACAGACAAATTGAACTGAGAACTAGCAGCACCTTAAGAACATCCTTCTGAGAGGATAAGAGCTCTCCATCCACCAGCTTAAGAGATCAAGCAGAGGAGGCAGGAAACCAGCATGGCTAAGCAAGGATCTATTGATTAGGCTGAGGGATGAGAAGGAAAAGTACATGCAATGGAAGCAGGGATGGGTGCCCTAGGAAGAATACAGGAATGCCATTTAGGCATATAGAAATGGGATTACAAAAGCAGGAAAGCCAAGGCGCAGATGGAACAGAACTTGTAGAAGTATGTGAAAAACAACAAGAATGATTTCCTTTGATACACTGGGCAGAAGAGACAGGCAAAGGAGAGTGTACTCCCTCTGATAAATGAGAAGGGAGAACTGGCTTCAGCAGGCGTGAAGAAGACTGAGGTACTCAATGAGTTTTTTGCCCTCAGTCTTCACTGGCAGTCAGGCTTCCTACACCTCTCACGTCCCTGAACCTCTAGATGGAGGTAAAAGGAAGCAAAATCTCTGCTAGTGTAAAAGCAGACCAAGTCTGAGACCACTTCATGAGGCTGAATCTGTACAAGTCTATGGGGCCAGATGACGTACATCTCAGGGTTCTCAAGGAACTGGCTAATACAGTTGCCAAACCACTCTCCATCATATATAAAAAGTCACTGCTGTCAAGCAAAGCCCCCAGTGATTGGAAAAAAAGAAAAACAACACTCCCATTTTTAAGAAAGGGAGAAAGGAAGACTAGAGTAACTACAAGCCAATGAGCCCCACCTTTGTGCACAGGAAGATCATTCAGATCCTCCTGAAAGAGACGTTAAGGCATATGAGACATGAGCAGGTGATCCAAGACATCCAACACATTGCTATCTCTAGATTTGAGAGATATGGATTTAAAGACTGGACTATTAGGTGGATAATAATTGGTTGGATAGTCACAGTCGGAGGGTTGTGGCAAATGGCTCTACGTCCAGGTGGAGGTTGGACATGACTGCTGTCCCCTAGGGATAGGTCCATCCAGAGAGACAAGTACAGACTTGAAAAGTAGGCCCGCAAGAACCTAATGAGGTTCAACAAAGCCAAATACTTGGGTCAGGGAAATCCCACATATGTGTACAGACTGGGAAAAGAATTTATTTGAGAAGAGTCCTGCCCAGAAAGATTTGGGGGTACTGATGAATGAACATGAGCTAGCAGCGTGTGCTTGCAGCCCAGAAAACCAACTATATCCTGAGCTGCATCAAGAGGGGTGGCCAGCAGGATGAGGGAGAGGATTGTCCTCCTCTGTTCTCACGAGGCCTCACCTGCAGTCCTGCACCCAGGCCTGGGGCCCCCAGCACAAGAAATATGTGTGGCTATTGGAGCAGGTTCAGAGGAGGGCCACAGAGATGCTCAGAGGGTTGGAGCACCTCTCCTAAGAAAGGCTGAATGAACTGAGCTTGTTTAGCCTGGAGAAGTACTCAAAGGGAGCTTGTAAGCAAGAGGAGAACTGACCTTTTACACAGTCTGACAGTGACATTTCAACTAAGAGAGGGGAAATTTAGGTCTGATGTTAGGAAAAAATTCTCTACTCTGAGAAGCAGCAAGGCCCTGGCACATGCTGCCCATTCCTGGAGGCATTCAAGGTCAAGTTGCATGAGGCCCTGGGCAGCCTAATCTGGTGGAGGGCAGTCCCGCACATGGCAAGATGTTGGAACTACATGATGCTTAACGTCCCTTCCAACCTAAGCCATTCTATGATTTTATGACAGCAAGAGTTCCATGTGCAATCCCGCTTCTGTCAGCACAGTTCATGCCCTCCTTCCCAGACCTTGAAGTCAATGACTAAGGGCAAATCGCACTGTTTGCCTCCTTCAAATTTGCACAGATTCGGTCTTTGTACAGACAAGAGAAGAAAAAGATCGTGAAAAAACAGTTTCCAGGCACAGTGATGACCAAATCATTTACAAATTCATATTTAATACAGATGTGGAGTCAAAAATGTTTTTTGTTTCTGAAAGCAAAAAAAAGTCTCAAACTAAAATACTGGCAGGTCCTTTTAAAGCTGCCTATTTTTAATGGGTCCAAACCCTCATCACAAATCAATTAAAACTGCCTTCTTGTCTCAGCTATTGAAATTGAAATGACTGTTCAGGATGCTTTTATTACTGTTTCATAGGATTAGAACTTCACCTAGGTCTGATCAATTCACATATTAGCAAACCAAGAGCATGAGCTGAGATCCATGTAAACTCCCCTTAGGGAACTTAAGAATCACAAAGCACAGCCGTGCTTGTGTCTAGCATGATTATGGGAGCAAAAACTCATAAGAATGCCATTATTTAATTTAAAAATAAGACTAATAGGAGATACAGAGCAATGGAAAGAAGAGAGTTCTTAACATCACAGCTTTATGACCAATTATGGGGTATAAAGGCTAGTGAAAATTGCTAATCTGGCTTTTAGTACTACAAGATCAAATCACTCTAAGTTTGCTTATTCCTCCTCAGCGCCTCCTTGCCAGAATCAGGCACTACCTTGTATCCTTCTGCAACACTAAGTAAAATATAAGGATTTCCTCAGATGGTCTTTCATCATCCTGCTGGATGAAATGAAACCACAGACAGCACAGGGGAGATTCTCAGAGGTCGATACCCTTTTCAGCTTATTTGATTTGAACTGATCTATAACAGCAGACAGAAAACAAGAGCCTGATCATACATTATCACAATGTCAGATTTACTGCAAAACTACTACAGCGGTCCTACGAATCTCAGAATACATCCTGGATAGCGAAGGAAAAGAAGACATATTCCCCTGTCACTGCTTTTATTAATGACATATTTCTTTAGCAGGTAGGAACAACCTTAGCTGTTAAAAAAGAGAAAGGCAGCTAAAGCTCAGGTCACACTGGATGAGATGACAACTTCATGTCACACAGAACCACCCCCTTTTCTGAGTCATGCTGCTGCTGCTTACCAACCTGAGTGGGTGCGCATGTGCCTGGTTAAATGTGTCTTCTGAGAGCTGGAATAGGGACACATAGCACACTGATAGGGTCGCTCTCCTGCGAAAACAAAATAAAACAACAAATTAATTACTGAAACACACATGACTCCCATCTTTGGATCCTGAGCCATACCCGCCAGGCCGTCATAGAACCCCAAGCTGTATCTGAACACACATTCTCTCTCAGAACAGGGCCATGGTGAGAAGCACATGCATCAGGTGAACCAGTATGTATCACGTTCACAGTAGTGAAGGGACAGAATATGAAAGGCACAACCCCACATGCATCTGAGGTCAGACAGCTCTCAGGCAAAAAGTGACTGGAACTGCTATCCCTACAGAAATCCTAAACTACCAGAGCTCATTTTTCTACATGCTTTCTGCCAGCACTCTGACCACCCAAGAAGCCAGGTTTTTGCTTCCTCTTACCTCCATGCTTAAGCCTGGGATGTGGAAAACTGCAATGCCTGGCTCAGTGAAACTGTGCTACCAGCAATAGCTTAAGTATGGCAGCAACATTTTGAAGACTTTCAAACCAGCAGTTCCTTCACCTGCAGTCACTGTTTCTGGAGGAATTGACCTGCCACAAATTTTGTTTCACAAGAGACAATTTCTGTAAGTATCAGTAATTTCTTTTCAAGCAAAGGCAGCCCAAAGTAAAGGCGGTCAATTTTAGAATCTGGTAGGAAGATGCGGATAAAAGCACCAGGTTTTGGTTGGTTTTTGCCTGAAACTTCTAATGCATCCGAGAAGTAGAGAATGCCTCATCCCCACTGCAAGCTGGAACAACACGTTTTAGTTTGAAGCAGGGACCAGAGTGAAGTTTGGAAGGGAAAAACAAATCCTCACTTGCTGTTTATTCCAGACAAGATCAGAACTACATCACTGCATTTTCCTACACAAAACAAAGCACACAACCAATGTGCTCTTCACCGAGACTCGAGCGCCAGCAAACACCCTGTATACAGCCTGTGGACAGTTCTACCTGCAGCGGCAGAGACCTCCAGGTGCCTGGAGGAGAGACCTTTGTAATGCATGCAAATCACCTGTTTCTTCCTGCCATCACATCGTTCAGATTAGCACTCTTGATTAGATCAGCGCTTAAATGTAAAATCACCCTAACAACCAGAGCCTGCCCCCTTCTTTCCAGTTAAGATTAAGTCATGTCCCAGGGAGGGGTAGGGCTTTGTCATAAAGGAACGGCTGTTTTTTTCTGTGACTACAAATCGTGGCCAAAGGTCCTGGAATACACAGTCATGTGCTATTCCCAGTACCTCAGATTTCACATCTTTCAATTTATCTGTAATTTCAACAACGTGGCAAAGACGTTATATTTTCTATAGAGCACATGAGCAAAATATTCTAGATGAACGTGATGAATGTAACTAATATAAGATGTATGCTATCACCACTTGAAAATTAAACACGTGGCTACGTTGTGCAAGGGCTGCTTTACAGTGCTATTTGCCAAAGGACTTACTGTCATTTTGCAAGCTTGTTATGTGCAAACAAGCCACCAAAAAAGCCTCTCCAGAAGACATTCACAGAAAAAGCTCTGGTATTTGTGGGAGTCCTCAGTAAGTCAATTCAGCTCACCGACCCCCAGGAAACAAACTTGGGAAACAAGAAAGGAGCATTTTACTGCCATTTTAGTGAGTAGCATCAATAAGTCTGAGATAGAGGGGAAAAAAAACACTTTCCTGCAGCAGCAGAGCAGAGTGGGTGTTTCAGACAATCGACTCAAATGCAGTAGACGACATTTATCTGCAAAGAGGCTTCTTCCCACACAGAGTTAAGTCAGGTGCAACAATCAGGAACATCAAGTTAAAAACAACTGCAGCTTCCTTATCTCCACATCCTGAATTCATCACCTGGCTCCCTTCCAACGGATATTTTTACTATGTTTTCTCCTTTAAAACTATAACCCAAAGACACTCGTATTATTCAGACAGTTTTCATTACAGTCAGTGCTGTTATGTTAACAGTCTGCAATGCAATCAATTACACAGTAGTGCCAGCAGAAGTGCTGAGCCTGGTGGATCAGCATACTTGCCAGTAGCTCATTCTTTCTTCTTTAGCTTTCTCTTTAGCTTTAAACACTCAGGGACAAAACCTACGTTGTTGGAAACAAGGCACGTTCTCAAATGAATTCACATATTTGAGAGTTTTTTAATCAAGCAAGAATCGGCTGGAAGATCCCTATTTGCCAGCTGCTAAGACGACCCAGCAGAGAAAGCAAGCACCAGAGTGAACCAAAAAGTGCTGAAATCATCATTCATCTCAGCTTAGTTGAAACAATGAGAAGACATGACAAACCAAAAACCTAATTTAAAGGAGGAAAGAGGAACTGGATAACATTCTACATAGTTTAACTTGCTTTTTCTGTTGTTGTTTTTGTTTTTAAATATCATTAAGTAATATACCAGCCTTGAGTGTACTCATCAGCTCAGAGCTTAGCAACTGCCAATGCAAAGAGCTCTGCCCTCTGCCAGGGCTGTGATGCTGGGAAGCGAGTCCTACAGTGAATGATGGTCTCAGATTGCCACTTAGAGCTTGTGGAAAGTTTGAACGGTGTTTCCTCAAACTTGCTCCGAGTGAGTTCCTGCAAATCTCTCTGAGAGCTTTCTGAGGTCAGAGTTGGGCACCCAACATCAGGCTAACAGGAGAAGCCAAGACAGATGTAAGGCACCACAACATGGACTCATGCTTGGCCACGAATTCCTGGGAGGGTTTAGCTTTCTCCTGCTCTTTGGTCATTTCTGCCTGCTTTCTTTTTCACCACCTCCCACAATACATACAACGAAAACTGGAGAACAACCATTTGCCCAGCATCTCTTACAAGAACCTGCGTACAGGTTGAGTCAAGAGCAATTTTAAACAATGCTATCCTCTAAACACCACCACATGGCTACTGTTGAGGAGTATTAACACACTGAAAACCAGAGCATACCGTCCAGATCCCATCACAGCAGACACCAGAACATGGCACTTCCGACTTGTGTCAGCAGAGTGGATGTCAGCAGTGGGAAGCAACCTCCAAGGAGAACTTGTTCCTTCCAAGGAGGAACCTCAGCATGATATTTCCCAACTAGCTGCAGCTCACAGAGATGCTGCGCAACCCAAGGCCCTGTTGGCACGTGGGCCCATCTGGTATAAATCAGAGCAGAAAGGAGCCCCACACTTCTCCTCAAGATTGCAAACTGGTGGATGGGAGAAGAGGGCAGGAAATTGAGACGAAATCTCTCCCAGGGGCTCCCTACAGGCTAACAAATGCAGTATGGGCTCCTGCTGTGATGCAGCTACACCACGATTCCACATTGCATGCCCTGACAACCATCACATGCCCACTTTTGTCATGCTCTCTTAAAAAAAAAAAAAAAGTTTCAAATCCCTAAACAAGATGTTCTTCATCTCCTCTCAGGCTTCTGAAATGAGAGATTTTCTCCGTCCTCTAGAGCTTGCAGACTGGAGCTCAAAGCAAACTCGTGATACAACCAGACAGCACTACATACAACAGCAACGGGCCTCATCAGGGTGGAACAAACTGCAACAGAAAAATCATCTTTTGCTTCATTCATTCGGTTTCCCTCTACCGCTACCACACTTAAATCAAAAGAAACTAAAGACTTACCCGTGTGAGTTCTAATATGCTGAATATAGTTGTTTTTCCTATCTGAAAAATAGGAGCACTGCGAGCAGGTGTACACTTTCCTTGGAAAATGGTTTCTCAAGTGTTTCTTCCAGTGATACTCACTGACCGTGGTGTAAGTGCATATGGTACACTTGTACACTCTCTCGTTTTCTCCTGCTTTGTTGTGGTGCTTCAGGTGAGCCAGGTAGTGATCATATCTGTTAGTGTTATAGCCGCAGCGATCGCAGCGGATCGGGCCCTTGGAGAAGTCCACCTCTTCCGCGCTGTAGGAATCAGACTCCTTGATCTGCACTTGTTTCTCTGCATTTTCTTCCACGAAAAACTTCTTAGCACTGTGAACTCTGATGTGGTGCACAAACTCCTCTTCGGACTCGGCCTCGTAATGGCAGGGCTTGCAGCGGAACGGTTTGTTCTTGAGGCTCTTACACTTGTCCTCGGAGCTCTCCGGAGTGCCCGGAGCTTCCAACGGGACATCTTTGTCCGTGCTGGGAGTCTCTGGTGGAGGACAAGCGTCCGGGCCTTGGGTTTCCACGTCGGGTGCTTCCAGAGAGCTCAATTCCACGTTTTCCGAGGCGCCACGGTCGCTCTCCGCAGCACGGCTATCCTCCACGCCCTCCGCGTCGCTGTCTGAGAAGTTGCTGTCGCCCACCGTGGTCAGCTCGGCCATCTGCCGCTCCTCTCCCACCAGGTAATCGCAGCAGTTGCCGTTCACCTCTCCCGTCAGGGCCACGTTGGCCAACATGATCAGCTGCGGGGCCGCCAGCTCGGCTTTGGAAAGGTCGTGCAAGTCATACATGTCGTTGGACAACGCCATGCCGATGTTAGCGCCGCCGGGAAAGAGGCCGTTCCCACCGGACTGTCCCAGCACTTGAGTCGCCATAGCAGCGGTTCTGTCGAGAGGGGAAAAAAAGCACACCTGTGAGCGGCCGTGCTGCGGGAAGGCCTCCTCTTGGCAACACCGCCCGCGGAGGAAGCGCGGCCCGAGCGCGGCTCCGGGCCGAGCCCCGCCATGGCGGCCGGGGGAGCCGCGGCCTCCGACGAAACGCCGCCGGCCCCGCGCGGCCCGACCCGGCCCGCATCCGCCCCGGGAGGCGGCCGGGGGAGCCGGGCCGTGCCCCCGCAGCCCTCCCTCCTCCCCTCCCTCCCTCGCAGCCAGGCATGCGGCCATTTTCTGCCTGCCCACACAAAGCGGCCCTCCCCGCCGCCGCCGCGGGGCCCGTCCGGGCACGGCCGCCCCGAGGGGACCGGGACGGAGGAGGCGGCCCCGCTTCCCGCTCCGCGGCGCGGGGGCGGCTCCGCGTCTCCAGCAAGGTCACGGCGGCCGCTCCCGCCCGTCGCCCGGCGGACGGAGGACGAGCGCCGCCCGGGGCCCTCCGTTCGGGCCCGCGGAGGCCCGGCCGAAACGTCTTCCGGCGGCGGAGCCCGGACAACGGCCCCGCCGCGAGCGCGGCCGGCGAGGCCGGCGCGGCCCCTTAGCCGTGGTGCTGATCCCCCCGCGGCCCGGCCGGGCCCGGCCCCCCCCCGCCGCGCGGCCGCCGATCAGCCCTGGACAGCGCCCGTCGCCCTGCCCGGCTCCCTCCCGCCTCCTCCGCCCTCCTCCCCCGGGCCCGGGGCCCGCCGCACTCACCGGCGGCTCGAGGCCGGCCGGCCGCGGGGCTGCTGCGGGACGCGGAGCGGGGAGGCGGCGCTGCGGGCGGGAGGCGCCGCGCATTCCAGCACACAGCGCGCAGCGGCGGCACCGCCCCGCCCCGCCCGCCCCCACCGGCGCCGCCGGCCCCGCCCCGGCACCGGCACCGCCCCGGCACCGACACCGGCGTCGCGCCCGGCCGCGGGGGGGCGCGGGGGCGGGGAAGGGCGGAAGCGCGGCGGGGCCGCCCTGCGCCTGGCCGAGCCGGGCCTCCGTGCGGCTGGAGGGCGACCCGCGTGCGGCCCGCCGTCTGAGGGGAGCCGCTGGGCGTCTCGGTCCGAGCGCTTCTCGTAGAAACGCAGCGTCATTAAGGCTGGAAAAGACCTCTCAGGTCATCCGGTCCGATTCCCAGCCCATCCCCGCCGTGCCCACTGAACGCGTCCCTCGAAGTTCACATCTCCACGGTTCTTGACCTTCCGGCTCCCTGCAAGTGTCCAAAAAGATGTTGCGGTGTGGAAGGGGTCGGCCTCTTCTCCCGGGCAGTAGCAGTAGGATGAGAGGAAATGGCCTCAAATTGCACCAGAGGAGGTTCAGGTTGGATATTAGGAAACATCTCTTCTCAGCAGTGATGCCGTGGCACAGGCTGCCTGGGGAGGTGGTGCAGTCACTGAACCTCAAGGTGTTCGAGAACTGTGGAGATGTGGCACTGAGTGATGTCAGTGGGCATGGTGGGGATGGGGTGGGCTTGGAACGGATGATCTTAGATGTCTTTTCCAGCCTTCATGATTCTATGATTCAAGCAGCACTGTGTTTCATCTTCTCTCAGCAGAATGCAGAGATGCAAGCTGATGAGATACTCCTTCTCCTCCTTGCATGCAATGCACATTTCTACTCTCCTAGCCAGTATACATACAGCATGTACACACTGTTATGCCTCAGTTTAAAACACGTCTGCTTCAGCCATGACCCACCTCTGTGGATTGTCTTCCAGTGTTTGCTGAAGAACTGTAGCACTTTCTGTTTCTTCAGGAAAGTACAAAAATGGATATCGCTCATTAGCACTTATAGAAATGCCAGCTGTTCTTGCAAATCTTCTCAAATGGCCATTCCTATACTTATGTGTGTCTGGTTCCTAAAGGCAAGCTCACCCTACCAACTTCTGTCAGTGCCTGCCTGTTGTTCTCTTCACCCAGAAGAAGCATGTGATGCAGTAAATGTTGTGGATTTATTTGAAGGAAATTACTCTGAAATCTTAAACTTGTGTCCTTCTGAGTGTCTTTCTCCAGCTTCCTGGCTTTCACACAGTTTCTCTTGCTTTCATTTGGGATGTTTGGATGAAAGTTACACTCTGTTGTTAATACAGGCTGTGCCTGTCATCTCCTCTTTCAGCAGAGATTTAGTCTTGCTTTCTAGTGCCTTACTGCTATCTGTCCCTCTTCCTAGTTGTCTTATTCACTTACAGTTCTTTGGTCAATGCTCTCCTTATCAACACAAAAGACTTGTTCCCTGGTGAAAAGCTCCTTTGAGCTCTAAATTGAGTATCACCCCTAAGTCAAGCCTGAGCCATTCACCAACCCCCTTAACTCTAGTGGCTGCCCCATCACATTTATAGGCTAAAACTCAAGTTACACAACCCGTTAGCGGCTCCAGGACTCAAGTGCTGTCAGTTCTCCCAGTGCTTTCCAAAAATCCCACATGTGCACCCCAAGAAATCGTAGCAGCACACGGAAGTGGCTGCAGCAAGCATTTTGTGGTTGGAATGCTTTCAGGCGGCTTGAATGTAGATAATTCTGCAGTGAATATGTACTCTGAAAGAAATGAGCCACATCAAAGGTTGTAATGTCTGCAGAAAAAAAAAAAAAAATGCAATAGTAAATAAAAACTTCTGCCAAAACAAGAAACGTTTAACTATAAGATGGATTGTTTCCATTCTGGATGAGCTGGGGAGCAGGGAGTTGGAACTGGGTTTGTAATAGAAAACATACTTCAATATTTGCATCCATCCATTACAAAAATAAGGACACTTATTTTTGTAACATTTGTAACATTTGTAACAGTTAAAGAATTTTAAATTATTTGAGATTCCCAATAAAACTTCATTTTTTTTTTCCTTTGTGGATAATTTCACAACCGATTTTTACATAGGTGCCTTTTAAGTTCATTCCATTTGCTATAGGTTGGTTTGTTTATATGGAAGGGCGTTTTTGCATGGTCTGGTTTACCTCTGTTTTGTTTTTAATGACCAAATCCCTGGAAACATCACTGTTAATGTTATCTTAATAGTACCTTAATGTTCACTTACACAGAGATCTCTTAATCTTTTGGGAAACCTGTCTGACCAGATTTCTCAACTTCGGTACTCTGCAAGTGCACCAATTGCTCTATCTCTTTATGTTAATGTTCTAAAAATGTGCTTATGTTTGCTGTGTTCTAAAAATAACTTAAATGTTTGTTGCTTTGCCACCAGGAAAATGCACATTCCCAACACTTTCAAGTACTAGAACAAAATTCAGAGACTGTCCATTGCAAAATGTCCTTTGACGCTCAGATGTCCAAAGTAAAATGCCTGTTAAAACAATAAGTCAAGAGAGGTAGTTATATGGTAGCCCTGGTCACTTTCTAAACTGGCCTGAATCAGCCATGCAGCCAGCAGCAAAGCCATGCCATCTGACTCATGGCCACCATTTCCAGAATCTTGTTCCAACAGGAAAGTTTCAGCATCTATGCAGCAAATGAGATAAAGAAAAGAACCCATCGAAAATACTCTCCCCCAAATCACCTCTTTTATCAGCCGATTCAGTTTATCTCAACTCAAAGTGCTGGTGGAAATGCCACTTTAGCTCTTATGACCTGCCCTTGCTGGCTAAAAGAGGGCATAATGCAGGGAGTTTGTGTGAGAAGCAGAATACAGATAATTCACCAGATAATAATTAGCTGCTCTTTATTAGCTCTTTCAGAAACGCACACAGAACAGATTGTATTTGCTGTAGCTTTGCTGCCTTCTTGGATGGCAGCAGATACTGTGAAAGAGGCAAATTTCTGTTTGTTTCAGCAAAGACATAATTTCACAGAACGTGAAATATCACACTCAGATAAGCCAAAACCTTCTGGTGAGCTTTTACTGAAACTTCCTTTTTCACTTGCAGGGCAACCCATTTCTGTACAAGCAGAAGATTAAAGTATTACTACGTCTTACAGAGCATTTTTAAAACAATTTTGAGTCCTATGGTAAGCCTGTTACAAGTTGCTGTGGCCATGATTTGGCCAAGCAGTGTTGGGTATCAGGAAAAAATTCTTCACCAGAGGGCAGTGGGCATGGAACAGGCTGCCCAGGGCAGTGGGCTCAGCCCTAAGTGCTGGAGTTCAGGGATCATTTGGACAGCAGACATAGAGTCTGATTTTTGGGTGGTCCTGTGTGCGGCCAGGAGTTGGACTCGATGATCCTGTGAATTCCTTCCAACTTGAGATGGATATTCTGTGAGTCCATGATTCTAAACAGTATTCCCAGTGTTTGGGTGCCTCTGCCAGACCTAAAACACCACAGCGACTTGACTCAAAGCACAGGTTCTGTCAAGACACAACTGTTTTGAGGTGTTATAAAGGGTTAATTTCATGCCTTCACACCTCTCGCTAGAGGTGGCATCTCCTGTCCACATCCCTGCTCCTTTGCACTGGATCAGGCCTGTGTCCTTCTGTAGGCTGCACTAAGCCACATCAAACCAGCACAAACCTCAAAAACATACGATCTGGCTAACATGGTAGAAACATGATCATGCAGCAGTCACATCTGATCCAGATAAAGCACGTGTATGCAGCCAAGTGTGAGCAGTTGCAGGCCGCAGCCTGGACACGGGACAGATAGCATGGGAACAGGTGAACAACTGGCTGACCAGCATTTGTGAATTGGGCAGTCACCTGCCTGAGTAAACAGTACAGAGCTAATTCAGACTCCATGAATTTTGACAGAGAGTAGGGATTTGTTTTGCTTTTTCGTATTTATGGTGGCTTTGGCTGAAGCTCTCAAACAGAAGAGCAGAAGCTTGAGAGATGTAGAAGCTTGAGCAGAAGCTGAAATGAAATGCTTTCAAGAGTCCCTGTATCCAGCAGTTCCCATTTATGTGACAGCTTCTGAAAGACTTCAGGCCACAGCAGGGAAGGCCTCAATGTGATGAGTGCTGTAGACCATCTACGTTTGAGTTTGCAGGTTTGCAGCTGAAAACTGTGTCAGAGAGGGGCATTACACCCAGGAATCCTAGCATCTAGTCCTGCACAGCCCTTCCTGCCTCCTAATGCGGGGAAATAAAGTTGCCAGGCACTGTGTCAAGGGTAGATTAATTTCATACTTGAAGTAAGTGCCACAACCCGAGCAGAGGAGCAGCTGCCACATGTAAACCCAGTTTTAATCGCCTTTCTGTTATGGAAGCAGAGGTTGCGGTGGTGTAACTGGAGCCTCTCTACAGCAGCTGTATTTGAAGCAGGGCACCTTTTGTCTCAGGGGATCGCAGAGTAAAGAACAGTGCTTCTGGTATTTGACAACAGTTCCCTGGATGAGCAGTTGTTTCTTAAGCAATAGCCCTCTTTGTTGTTTGCCCTGCCACTGGCTAATTGACAGCGACAGGGATTATGTAGGGAGGAGAGAGCATGTAATGGGGACATCAAAGCCAATTATTGGGTAAGAGGAACAATAACGGAGGAAGGCTCTATTCAGAAAGAATACATGTTTATGTAGCGAGGCTTAGCCATTCTCACCGCGATCCTGTGCCGTTTTTTTTTTTCTTTTTCCTTCATTCCCAGCTCATGCTGCGTGTCTGTTCTTAATAACTCCTGCTGAGAAGAGTCTGGCTTATTCACGTCAGGTTCAGCAGTTCCACCTAATTTTCCAAACCACATCTGTTTTTAACCCACCATCCACTTCTCACAGGGCTTCCTACGCCTGCTGGCTTGGAGCATACACATTTGGCACGTTCACTCCATCCTTCATTACGTGCTCTCTTCCTCCATCTCCTTCCCTAAGTCATTCCTTCCCCAGCACAAGCCCACCCCTGCACCTGCAGCAGTGCAAGTTCCAGAAAA